AACATTTGTGTCCGGGTACAAATAAAAAAATAGATTCTTGTAGCCAAATCAGATGATTTATGAATTATTTCTTGACTCAATATGGAACTCAGGGGCTCATCTTACAAAAATCTTAAGGTTTTTCTCTAGTTTGAGGGACATCCATTCATAAGATCCATTACTTCAAAAATGGCTTGTGATTGATTAACCGCTGGTCAATAGAGCCAGAAAATTATTGTGATCTAAATAAATGAAATGGGATATCCTTTTTGTCAGAGCCGTCCTTTGGACATTTGCTGTTGGTAAAATCTTGTCTGTCAGTAGCTTTGTCAGGTCCAGTGGCCTAGATGCCAAAAAAAGTTTGATAGAAAGGACAGTGGAAGAAAACTGTATAAAATAGTTTTGTTCATACAAGTCGTGGGAGCCGTAGTCTTGTGCTTGGGAACTTACTCAACGACTAATTCATACAACATAGGATTGCTGTGCTTAGGAATATTGTGTTTTTATACCTGCACGACACGTACTTCAACAACAGCCATGCCACTTATTCGTTTCGGTTCACTATATTATAAACGTTCACCTCAGAATCAGATAGTACCTTGTCAGATTTTGTTAAAATTTTGATGCAAATACGGCTGACGAAATTACTAAATAAGTGATTGACAAGCAGCTGAGTAATTACCAAAACACGATTATTCAGCGTCAGCGCTCTATATATTTTGGCATTATACGATGGATGAATAAAAATTTGGAAAATAATGAAATAATATCACATTTTGTAACTCTTTTCCCCTTGTAACGACATAGTGATAATTTGGAATGCAAAAGACAAACTACCACTGGACAGAGTGCGTTGACAACCTTGTTAACGTGATATCAAAAATCTGACAGTATAAACTAGACATAACTGGTTTCAATCAGAAATTACCGATAATCATTTCAATTTGCAAAAATTAAATTTGAATATAAATGAGTTTGTTCATCCAAGATTACGTTGATTATACTTTTATTGATCTTGAATGCTAAATATGTTAAATATCAAATCTAAGGTTATCTCTGGGCACTTAGTGCTGAAAAGCAACGTCGTATTAGTACTCGTACATTTTTAATTGTTTTATGGAATATTTGTAATGTTGAATATAGTATAAATTTCACAAATCATGTTAACTGTGTAGATTTTAGGGGTGTTAAGTTTGATTCATCTTAGTATTGGATTCAGTCTATCACTATCACTTTATTCACCATATGTACTTATATCTCGAAAACTATTAACTATAAAGAAAATTTCTAAAACACCTTTTTTGTTCAGAATTTCCTGAGAAACCCAAAAACACTTTGACCGTAGCGAAAGGAAACAATTTTTTGAACTTGTTTTAACAAAAACTGTTTCAGCTTCGAGCCTGTTGCCAGTTGCAGCCTACAATCTCGCTGTTTGATTGCACAACTTTCTTGCCAGTACCGTTACAACATCTCAGAATTATGAGACGTGATGAGGACTATTGGCACGAAAATATTTATACAGGGAAAACCAAATTTGTCTGACGGCGTGAGTTCAATGTGTATGAGAGAGAAGTGTGTGACAGCACATGTAGGAAAAAGATAGATGCCGGCTGAAGAGCGAAGGACATCACCACATTGCCTAGCGACGGTGACGCAAAAGGTCGTGCAATCTGCCGCGTTGCCAACATGTTACACCAAAAAATGTACAGCACAGGCTTCTACAATAGGTTAGGATACCGTCAAATCTAAGGAGGTCTATTCGAATATTTAATTAATAGTTTCTTTCAATTTTTATTAGAATTATTTATATCAATTTTGATGCTCTAATTTGTTTTAGAATTTTCTTTGATTTCCACCGATGGTGATAAAATCAACATATCCTGAGCTATTGTTACGTTTTTCGACAACAAATACTATTGCGCAATACAAACTATTACTGCCTGCGTGTACGCAGGTGAAAACCATCTCGAAGCAGGACGACACTCCGCAATGAGCGCTAGATGGGTACTGACCAAAATCGCTCAACTGTGATCATGGAGGTGGAAACCTTGCCTTGGAATATACGAGATGCGGTGATGCCAAGAGAACCAATGGTGCAATGTTCCAGAATGTGTGGCTATCCTGACCATTTATTTCGGCCTAAAATGTAGCGACGTTACGACCGATACGGAATCGATCCTAAACAGATTCGACACAATTCGCAATTCAAAAATGTGTACGCTCAAAATAAAATCATTATTTGGGCGTAGAGAATATATATGTATATATATATATTTTCAACATGCATCTTAATTCAAGGAATAGGTGTAATGTATTGGCAACACGGCGGATTGCAGCGTCAGCATCGCTAGGCAACGCGGTGATGAGATTCGCTATCCAGCCGGCTTCTCTCACTTCTGTCTTTGACACGTTGGACTTAAGCCGTCAGGCAAATTTGGTCCTCAGTGTATATGATACTGGACTTTAAAGAACATATGATAATGAAGACAGTAGCATCTTTATTTTCCGAAAAATTCCATAAACTTACTTTATTAAGCATAAATCTTCGGCAATAAGAATTTATTGAGCACTTACCGCCTAGTCCTCAGTCGGATAATAAACGCTTTAAGTATGTCCTGACCTATTTGTCAGATTATACAATAAACAGAGTCAAAAGTCATGGAAAAGATACATGCTAATTTAAAATTGCAATCTAGGTCAGATCTAACCGGCATACCATGTGTTCGGCATCTGAATTTGTTTTTTATTACTTAACAGGCAACAGTTACATCATGTTGGAGTTGCCCTGCTGGAGGTGGTCTGAAATAGAATAGAAACGGTTAAGAGTCAAAGTTGCAGTAGACAGCGAATATAGAATCTGGTAGAATATGTGGATAATCCGTCAAAAACTAGATTGTTCTATCACAAGCTAAACTCATATGCTTTAACACAATCATCAAAAGAAAAAGACCGTCACAGAATACTGCCCTAAAAATCATTCGTGACCTTTGTGACACTCAGGAAAGAACAAATCGTCTTACTTTTGCGCAGTATTATCAGTTTATTTATGAGCAGGTGGAATGACCGACTTTTAAAAAAAATCATTTTAATTATTTGATTTCTAGATAAACTGCATATTAACACCTTTTCTACTCAACAAGAGGGAATAACTAGCACTTTAAAATAACGTTTCGATTGTTATCCTCCAGCATCAACTTTATTTTTTCCTATAAATGCCATATTAGATTTTTGCTCAGATGAATAGAGTTTTTAATAGTGATCTCAAAAATGTATAATCTGTCATAGATAAAGATATTACCAACCCTCAGTTATTCCAGAAAAACAGAATTTCCTAGGTAGGCCTTGAAATTATCAGATTTAATTGTCTTCGAATACCAGACCAGACCTCAAACTGAACATAGCAACAGAGTTTGGAAGACTGAGAAGAAGAGATATAAATCTAGCAGTGAATAATGTACAGAGAAGGGTGGGACTTTGCCTACAAAATAATGGACACTTTGAACATCTTCTATGATTTTCCTCTGCTTATTCATGATTATTATTGCTATTACCATAAAAAAAATTCATGTTGTGATCAGGTTTCACCATACCTTCTTATTTCCTAATAATTTTGATCTAATAACAAAATCGTGGCCAACTAAGGGGATGCATCACCGAATTTTGGACTGAAAGCTTCATTTAAATGTACAAAATTCCAATGTAGCGTCCATATGAAAAAACAAAGTTGATGCTAAGGGACAGTTCTTGCCATGTTGTAGAGGAGAAAAAGTAGCAATGTTAATGTTCAAGTTATTTTGAAATTCCACCACAAATCAAGTCAGGAAAAAAATTAAAACGATTTTGGGAAATTTTTCCATCTCTCTCCGGAAGTACTTTGAATATCGAAACCTTCTAAGCGGCGTTTCTTTGATTACCTAAATACGCATTTCCCTCCATTTAAGCGTCTTACTGTTTCCAGGATCGCAATCGTGATGGTCGAATTTGAAGCACCCGGTATATGATTGTTTAATTACACTTATTAGGCAGCGCCATCAATAAACCTTACCGCTGGCTGTATACAATTTCACATATTTTCAATTCAACATTTATTTGCAAGGCGACGGCGCAACTACCGGTGATATAATAGTACGGTCAATTTATTTCCATTTTTAACCCCCTTGAAAGACAGTCTGATTTTTTGATCTTAGATTTTATCCGATCATTTATAAAATGTTGCATGTACCTTGCATGTAATAAGCGCTTATGTCTTTTTACGCTTTGAGACCTTTTTGCCATTTTTAGTGATTTATTTAGTTATTTAAGAGAATTTCGGGATGTCAAACAGAGAAATACTCCAAAAAAGACATCCACAACATGGCTCACAAAGGATATCAAGTTACAAGCACTGTTATAAAGCGATATAAATGCATGTGAAACAACTTAGCAATAAGGATACAAAGAACAAAGTTAAAGAACAGTAGCGTCGTTTACAAGGGAGTAGCCAACATCCTGTTCTTTAATAGGTATTTAAAGTTTAAGAATTGGCAAACAAAAATATCAGAAAATACACCATAGGTATTGAGATTTCTTTGCATTCGTATTAGCGGAGAGTTTAATCCAACATTCGTTCTGCAAAACGAGATATTGAAGTACGTACAGTACCTCTCGTTCACCCTTGGCGGTACATATGTATTGATTTTAGACAAAATGTAAAAACAATCAATTTGATCGTTTAAGATTCGGTGAATAAAGCACAAATCAGATAATACCCTTGTCATAAATAGAGGTAAGATTTTAAAACGTTCCATTACCAAGCTGTAATCATGATTATGTATATTGATATTCGCCTCATACGCCAAAACCCGTAGAAACTTATGTTGGACAGACTCAATCCTTTTTATATGGACTTCGTAGTGGGGGTTCCAAATAATGCAGCTATAACCAAGCATTTAGCTCCCTAGATACATAAGTAACTATTAGATCTCCAAACTGAATTGAACTTAAGTAGGAAGCATCTAATGAAGCATATTTTTATTTTTCAGGTAAGTCCTGATCGAAATGTTAATAAGCTGCAAGGTCGTAAGTAAATTTAGTAAGTACTGCTTAACTGTTAGTGTCACGCTCACATTTAGCGAACTTATTCGCTATACAGTACAGATATGAGACAAGATGTTAAAAAACAAGACTCTGGAAGGAAATACTTCCTAGGTCTTAGTTTCTGTAGATATAGATGTACCAGCTTCATTCCAATCATCATTGCAGATGTAAGGCTAATATCACAGGATCAGTATTTACGGCGATCGGTACAATCATTTTTTACTGATGATTGTGTCAGTGTCAGTTAACTTACGCATACGCCTATACGCGGTCAATAAATATCATTTTTCATCTACATATTGGCGGATCGTAGTAAATAATGATCGTGTGACATTCCTAAAAACTGTGTTCTTGACGAATAATGTTCACTCTCACAAACATTTTCATCAGCCGCTGTCGGTCTTATTTAGCTTATCTGCTATTATAACTGAATTTGAATTTACTACTTATAAAACAGCGTTGTCCATAGTTAACTTACTTGGCCCTATTGTTTCAAGACAACCCAGTACAGCCCGATAAAGACGATAGAAAATAAATAAATTTTGCCGCTGTTCATACAAACGTGCATGCAGTCGGAAGCGAGATTTTAACAGCTTACCTATTTCGAGGAGGAAACATAAAAACAGAAAGCCGTAAAATTGCAATCAGTATGCTGCTGACAAGCGAATGTTAATATGCAAAGAAAATACACGAGAAGGAGCTAAAAATACGTCTTGTGGCTATGAATAAATTTTATGCATGTTTGTTAGGTGACTGGTTTCCAAAGTTATTATAGATAACATGAGCCGACAAAACTATGTAGGTATACTTTTTCGAAGGTTCTTGATGCACTGAATCCGAATATGTGTATGTACAAATCTTTTAATTGGCTTATGTTTCCGAAATATATCAACCTAAAAGTGCAAACAGCAATTTTTGTTTATATTTGAGGTTATGTAGCACGACATTTTTTTTAAACCAAATGAATCACATCAAAGTACAAGCCTTACTCTTTCATATGCCTTGGGTTTACTTAAATATCTTTTTCTTTCGCTGATATATGCTACTTTTCATTACCAGATCGGTTCAGCTTTTATCAAAAGAAGGTATTTTTATTTTAAAAAAGTTTGTTGTCTAAAGTAAGAACGTTAAACTCGACCTTGATAGGGTAGGGTCGGTGGAGATCTTGTAGTTTGAGTAAGTCTCAGATACTTGATGGACTTGGTGTTGAGGATTCATGGGTTTCTTAGTTGGTAGGTCTTATTTTATCAACAGACATTAACTCGTTTTTTAATTTTTGATGTATTATATTCCAAATTACAGGTTTGATGCACCCGTAATCAGTTATAGTGAAATTCAGAAAAATATATAGTTCAAAGTGCGACATATCAGCGAAGAAAGAATATATTCAAGAAAGCTCAGTGGCATCTTCTTTGAGACGATGTCTATGGTTATTTGAAAAAAAATAATTCGTCACACCACATAACCCCAAACATAGTCAAAAATCGCTATTTTGCACAATTAGCTTAGGATATCTCAGAAACTAGAGCAAACGGATAGATTTGAGCTTAGGATTCGGATGCAGTGCATCGAAAACCTCCTGGAGAGTATGCCCTGGTTTATGGGTAAAAATCTTTGCGGCCTGTGCAATCGTTATATATATATATACGAGTACAAGCCGCTTCCCACTTCAGTTGGCCCACTTCAAGATTTGTACCAAAATATGCCTTTATAAACTAAACATGACGAAACTATTTACTTCTAAAACAATTTATTTTCTCAAAAACATTTTAGATACATTCTAGTCGTAAAAAATACATATTTGAAATCACTTAGACCTATAACTAATAGAACATCTGAACAAATAAACAATGTGCAAATAAATGCGCGAAGTTAACAAAGCAACAATTGAAAGATTACCATTGGGTAACATCACCTTTATTTTTTATTACACCTGAAATTATTTGGGGCATAGTGTTAACCAAGTTTTGGCAAAAATTTGGTGTAAAACAATACCATATTTCTTGAAGCTTTTGTCTCAGTTCGGTGATTGTACGAGCAGGATGTTGTCGTAGAACCTTTTTCATCTCGTGTCACAAAGTTTCAATAGGTGACAGATCTGGAATGCTAGAAACCCATTTCAAACGTGGTACATTATTTTCTTTCATCCCTTTTAGACCCTTTTTTGAGGCATGGCACGCTGCACCATCTTGCTGAAACAAAATCTTCCATCACCGGTAAAAGCAATTCTTCTAAAATTGCCAAATATTTGTTTGTATCCTACATTTCCATCAACAAGATGAAGTTTTCCTACTCCTTTTGATGACATACTGCCCCAGACCATAATGGATGCTGGAAATTTCACTTCTCTCTTCAGACAGTCAACATGGAATGCTTAATTTTTTTTTGCGAATAACTACTGCGACTGTCACCAACACAAACTTCGAATCTGGCCTCATCACTCCATTGTATTGCACACCATTGTTGAGGTGTCCATTGTCTATGTTCTTTAGCCTATCTAAGCCGATTTTTCTTTTGCAGTGGAGTTAATAGTGGCTTTTCTTTGACCTATAAACAAGTTGTGCAACTTTAGGGTTTTTACTTCACGTTTTTTTTTATAAGAAAACTTACCTTGTAAGTGCTAAATCCCAGTTTGTGGGCCTCTCTATGAGTTGTGGACCTCGAAATTCTCCTTCCAACAGTGTCACTCCACAGAGCACTTAATTATAAATAATTGGCACGCCTATTTTTCAATCCCATAAGGAACGAAGCAATAGAAGAGGGGGTTTGGAGCAAGTTTATGTAGAATCCTACGTTAAGTACCCGCAAATTGGCGACTGTGTGTGGTGTGTGCCCATAGTTTTCATCAGTATAAAATTCACCTGGTACAAGAACTCAATGAAGACGATTTTGATCGGCGATTACTATTTTGTGAAGATATGAGTGAACGAATTATAAACGATGAACATTTTCTATTCAACATTTGCTTTTCCGACGAATGTTTCTTTTTCTTAAATGGCGTAGTAAATCGTCATAACTGCCGATATTGGACCGATTCGAATCCCAGAATTTATCATGAGGTTCATACACAGCATCCACAAAAATTAAATGTTTGGGCTGGTATTTTTGGCGATGATTTAGTTGTTCCTTTTTTTTACCTGGAAATTTGACCGGTGAAATGTATTTGGAATTACTAGAGGCCGCCATAGATCCTGCACTAATAGCCATAATTGAAAATCAGAATGATCGACGGTACATTGCGAATAGGTTGATGTTCCAACAGGATGGTGCCCCACCACATTGCGCATTACGTGTTCGACAATATTTAGATCAGACGTTTCCAGATCGATGGATTGGTAGAAGAGGTGCCATTGAATGACCCCCAAGATCGCCAGATTTATCACCTTTTGACCTTTGGATTTCTTTATGTGGGGTCATTTAAAAATCAAAATCTATGCTACTCAGCCAACATCATTAGAAGACCTGCGACAAAGAATTGTGAATGAGTGCCTTCAAATATTGCAAAATGTGCGGCAACGTTTTGAGCAAAATCTTTATTATTGCATGGGGAGTCATGGTGGCCATTGTCAACATTTACTTGCCTAACGGGTGAGTTCGTTCTTCATTTTTAAATTACTTTGCTGCCAAATGTATTGATCTTCACTAATGATGATGTACTAGTTTTATTTAAGCTTTAAGTCAATAAATCTTCAAAACTACTGAACTGAAGTACATTAATTTTATATCATTATAAGGGGAATCGAAAGACCTTTAAAAGAAGGTATCACCCGACCCCCCTTTCCATTTAAGATTTTGGGGGCGGTGTCACCTCCGCTTAGGGGGCTGCACGTGCTAGCGTGATTTTTTGCCGAACTTGTGTCCCCCTAGAAAACAAAATCGACGGGTCTGAGCGTTTTTCAAAAAAAAACTGAGCTGTCAATAAATGCGTCTGTTTCGTTTTCGATGCGCCACCCTGTATACCCCTACAACCCTTAATCCCGGATTTTTACCCACTACAAAATGAAAATGATCAGGAGACTCTAAAACGTCAAAGTTTGATCGATTTTTGTTTGTTTTTTTTTCGGTTTTTGCCTGTAGCTTCGCCGCCTCTGGATCGATCTCCAACAACTAGCTTATTCGTCCTTGACATAATAACCTTGTGTCAAAATTTCATCCAAATCCGACCCCTACTTTCCAACAACTATCAATCGGACAGAGACCGATAGACAAACCGACGGAAATTCGTGTTTTCTATCTCATGTAACACCCAAAAATATGATTTTCCATTCGAAATGTCTCGCGATTACTATTGAAGTGCCAGGTAAAATGCCAGATATCTTTGGAACATAAAAGTTTAATTCTGTCTTCATTTCGCTTCACGCTTTACGTGCACTGTAAAATCCTTCCTAAGGATTCGTCAGAGATCTGACCTTATCCTTATAATAGAGTAGGTATAGAACTATAGGAAAGTGGGACATTAGAGGCACGTTTTGCTTTTGTCATTAAAATGTTTCAGCGATTTATAATTTGAAGTCAGCATGAACGGTGTCTGATGTAACAATGGCGATTTGCAATACCTAAAGATAAAACTCACAACGCGAACCTTGAAAGTATTATGCACTGAGTGCATTGTAGTGAATGCAGAACCGTATTTCTAAGCGTTTCTTTAACCAGTACTGTATTTTACTTTCTATTCGGCAAGAAAGCTGCAAATTACAATAGTAATGTTAATTACATTTCCAACGGTTTGAAACCGACTGAGCATGCGCAGTGGAGAAAAAATGTTGAAGCAAGCGTAAAAGCTAGTTGGGAATTTCGATTGTATCAATTGAAAAGATTGAAGCTCGACAACCGATTTAATAAAATTTGGTGTGTACTAATTTTTTATTGTGTATACCTGCTTGTATTGCTCACAGAAATATCAGATTCTTAAATTCCAAGTTCAGAATCCGTTTGGATCTCAGATATCGATTCGAGTGACGATGAAAACATTCTGCACACGC